TGCAAAAGCAAGCTTGAGGGAGGGCTAGGCGTGAGAAACCTCCAATTGTTCAACCTAGCTTTACTAGGGAAGTGGTGGGGCAGATTAGCCATAGGAGATACTAGCCTATAGAGCCAATTAATCAAAGAGAAGTATGGTCACAATAGAGATAATTGGCTGTGTTGGTTAAGGGAGGGCAACAACAAGGGCTCACTATGGTGGAGAGATCTATGCAAGTTAGGAGAGATGGGGGGCAGAACCAATGATTGGCTTAAGAAAGGATTCCAATTAAAAGTCGGAGAGGGAGCAGAAGTCAGATTCTGGTGGGATGATTAGGCAGGGTGCGGGCCCCTTGTTGAAAAATTTCCCAGATTATTCCTATTATCTACAGGACAGCAACATTCAATCAACCAAATGGGGAACTGGATAAATGGCACTTGGAGCTGGAATCTTCCATGGAGAAGGATGCTTTTGCAGAGAGAAAAAGCTCAAATTGATCCCTTTATGAATATCCTAAACGGAGTTAAAATCCAACATGGAATTCAAGATACTTGGAGATGGGTGCACAGCAAGGATGGTATTTACAACACTAGTGAAGCCTACTCCTCACTTGCTGCTGATGGTGAACCTAGTAACACTAGCATCTACTCCAGGATATGGAATGGTAACATCCCCTCTAAAGTATGTGCTTTTACTTGGAAACTAGTTCAAAATCGCATTCCTTCCAAACTTAACCTATCAAAACAAGGGATGTGTAACTTTCAAGACGGACTCACTTGTGTATTTTGCACTACTACTGTTGAAGACACAAACCACCTATTTCTACATTGCAAAACAGCCTTTAATCTCTGGTCAAAATGTTTTCGATGGTGGGGAGTTGAACATGTAATGCCTGGAACATGTTGGGATGCCTTTAACCAACACAAAGACCTTTTCAACAACACAACAGTTAAAATAGGCTAGGACATTATATGGTTTGCAATCACTTGGACAATATGGCTGGCAAGAAATGAGGTAATATTCCAGAACAAACACTTGGACGAAGCGAAACTATTTGACTTGGTGCAA